AAGGATCGAAGTCTACAATAAGCCTATCCACCTGGGAACCAAGCTCTACCTCAATAACAATCTGGATCAGATGTTCCCTTCTGGAAACAAAAGCGGATCACACCCGTAGAGAAGCGAATAGTCTCTGGTATTGAAGTTAAATTGCTAAATTCGGTTGTGACGATCACACTGCTCAAATAGTTCCTTATCTTAGCACGTCTAAATACCCTTAGGGAGATCCAAAACAGATGTTAATTAATATAAATAAATAAATAAAATATTCAATAGCTCTAGTAATCTTATAAAGCTTTTTATTATACACTAGTTAATTATTATTAATATTCAATTATTATTAATATGAAATTCGATTATTTGATTATATTATAATTATATCTATACTTATACCTATTCCTTTTTCAATAAAAAAGATATTAATATAAATATAGATAATATCCTTATCTCTATAATTGAAAACGATATTGTAAAGAATAGCAGTATCTTCTTTTGATGAATTGCTAATATTAACTTTGAAGGGAATTTCCTTTTTTCATAAAAGAAAGTTGAAGTGAATAATCTTTTTAAATGAAATAGAATTGAGATTCTGATTTATTGATTCTTTAATTCTATCAAGTTGGATTGATTTATATCGTTTTCTTTAAAGAATAAGAATTACTTCCAAATCAATTTGATATTAAGCTGATATTTCTTTTTTGATATTGATTAAATAGTTTGGTAAAAGTTTAGTTAAACGAAATATATATTATTTAATATTTAAATCTAATTAAATTTTTGAAAGCTTTAAATTTATTTCTATTTTTATTAAAAGGATTGGGATTGTTTTGAAGATTCCTAATATCTTTCGAAAAGCTAGGTTTTGAAGTGATTATATTATATTCTTGAAATAAGTTTGATCTCTCCACCAAATCATTGATTTGTAATTAGCTATACTAATTATATACTATATATAATTATCTAAAGACTTTAGGATTAAGGCCCTTTTTAGTATTAGCTAATTAAGCTATTCAATAGAAAGCACCTTTTGCTTATATGATTCGAATATTAATATGTTAATCGAATTTAAGGTTCGGGTCGAACCATATTCCCAGTTATCTAATAAAAGATTGGGGTACAATTATTTCCGAATTGGATAGTGTGATTGAATATTTTTTTGTTAATTTGGATAATAAAAAATATATTAGTTTTGTTTTTACCAAATCGAATTGGATTGTATTTTTAGAACTGAGTTTATAGATTTGTTTTGTAACTCTTTCTAAGGTTTTGATATTCTTTTTTTATATAAATAAATATATAATTAAAATAATATCATCTATATAGAAAAGAAATTTGATTGAATTAAATAAAAAGAGCTCCCTGATATATATAAAAAAAAAGAATTAAAGAAATCGGACTGCCTTATAGTATTCCGATCGAAATTGGCTTGAAAGATTTGATTTGATTATTAAAAGATAATTTCAATTATCTTTATTAAAGAAATGAAACTATCCAGACTATCAGATTTGTGGACAGTTTTAGCTTCTTATAATATCTAATAGCCGATTTCTTGAAATGTAATTGAATACTTCTTTATATCTATAAATAATATTGAGGTCTTTTTATTAACTTATTTATGTCTTTCAATTTTTGTAATCAATAAAAGTATAGTATTGATTGCTAATTTTTTTTGGCATTCTCCCATTTGACTTTTATAAAGGAGATAGATTGTTTCCACTAAATATCCTAATTATTAAGCTAAAATCCTTTTGCTTATTTTACCTAGGACAATTTAAAAATGCAATTACTCTATATACTTTTTGAAAAAAAAATCTAATTGAAAGCTTTCTTCAAAATAGCTTCTATAACTTATTTCCATATTTCGAATATATTCTAAATTAATAGTTTATAAAAAAAATAAAAAAGGTTTGTAGAATTGCTTTGTAAGCCTTTATAATGATTTCTTGAATAATTCCATCTAGGTTAAGGATGTTTCTTTGAATTTTGATTGAATAGATATTGCTTAATTCGATTTGAGTAAGATTAGGCCATTTCTATTGTTTGGATTGTTTATATCTTTTTCTATTGTAATTTTTGGGATAATAAAAGAGGGTAAAAATAGAGTTGATCTGAAAACAGAGTATTTTCCTTCGAAAGAGCTTTCTGTTATAATATCCAATATTCTTTGATCTTGAAAGTCTTTAATATAGACTATTGCTTTGAAAATTGTCTTGTATCCTTCTTTTCTAGAAACTTATTCCAATAATCCTTTTTTGTTGTTTTAATAGTTTGAAAGTACTTGTTTCTAGCAATTCGATATCCTTTCTTAGAGTTATAATTCTTTAGATCTAATTCAATTCTTTGTTTGCTTCTCTTAACTCTTTTCAGAGATCTTTTAATTCAAATATCCACTATAATTTGGCCCTTTTAATTAAAACACTTTTAGATATATACCTTTCTATTACTTTTTGAATATCCTAATAAATTCACTTATTACTTGATTTAGAATTAATAATAATTGTCTTTATTTTCAAAAGATTTAAGGAATCCTCTTTAATTGGAAAAAATTAATTCTAAATTCGACAGATAGAGGAATATAAGGATTCCGATTTAAATATTGATTCGAACTTTTCCCAATTCGCTAACTTAGTATTGTATCTAGCTATCAATCCAGTATTAGAAGTACTTAAATCTTCTTTTCCTTTTAATTCGAATAATATCCCTGCATAATCAGATCCTGTATCTAAAAGCATTTGCCAATTGTGAATTTGAGAAGAGATTCCCTCTAATACTAATATTAAATCAAGAACACTTGGATTAAGGAAATTAGTTCGATAGAAAATACTAATTCCAGGCTCATTTAAAAGAATGAGATTCTGATCTTCAAAACTATTAGCTAATTAATCAATAGTTTTGTTTTTCTTCGAAAAAGGATCCCATTATAGGTGATGAGCATTGAAGTCAATCTAAAAGAATGATTTCTTATATAATAAATATATTATATAAGCATCTTTCAATTATAAAACCTTTTTTTTAGCTTAATCAACTTCGTTATATATATTAATGATTTAAAAGATTTTGTTTTCATTTTGATAATTGAAAATCTATATATTAGAATCTATTAGAAAATCAAAAGCTAGATTGATATAGCTTGAAGAGTTTTTGATATATATAATAATATATATAGCCAGTAATTAGGAATTAAGTCTTAATAATATTGTATTGAAATTGGAGTATATAATAGATCTTGAATTTGAGTAATCAATTCCATGTTAATAATCCAAGGTTCTTGAATCATAATAAGATCAATATTAAGTTTTATTACAAACTGTAAAACGTTCTCTATAGCTTGTAAATTCCGATTGAGATTTATTTAAAGGATTTGAATATTAATATAACTTATTAATAAGTAGTATTCGATTTTTATTGAATAATCTAATAGGTTTTGTATATTTTCGAATTTGCTATATAATTCCTTTAGCAATTCAAGCATTTTACTTCTAAATATTAATAGAACTTTTCTTTGATATTATATACCATACATAAATATATTAATATAATATACTTATCTCCATATAATCCACAGAAAGAGTTCTTTCTATAATAGATATTCTGATACCCAAATCCTTAACATTTCTGATATTGTATAATTGATTTTGATTCATAAAATTGTTCTATTCTTATACTACTTCCAGTAATATATAATCGCTTTCGAATAATTAATTCTGCTTCTGATTTTATAGCAAAAACAATAACAATAGCATCCTCTCATTAATAAACTCTTCTAAAAACAAATATAAGCTAAAAAAAGGTTCCTATAGACTTGAAGTTTGAATTGAAGGTTTTGATTTCGTCAAGTATAAGATCCATTCCTTTTATACCTAAAAATTCTTTAATTGGGATTTTGTAAATAATGACTTTGTACCATTCTTGATCCTTTTGGATTCTTTCGAATTTAATAATATTACTCCAAATCGCTTTCTTCTCCAATAAGAATTGTGATATAAGGGATCATTTGTTGTAATAATGATATTATTATTGAAGGATATAGTTGCTGCTGCAATGACTGGCCCTTTGATTCCAATCTTTTGAAAGGCTTCATTTATTTTGTTTCGAATAATTAAAGGGGAAAAGGAGATAGGGTTTGGAAATCTGGTTTGATTAAGATAATTCGTTTTTGGATGAGGTTAGATTTCTTTTCTATATTAGTAGATGTAATGTTTTTCCCTTTGGGGACATCGAGAGGCATTGGATTTGCCGTGCAATTTCAAGAGTTGACTTTCTTCTTCGTTCAAGGTGGCGAGGGCCTCTTGAGGAAGATCGGGATCTATCATCGTGAAGAGTGTGAGATGCAGATGGAGAATGGGGAACTGAAGTTGTTCTTCTCAAGATTTTAAAAGACACACGAAGTGATAAGTATCCCCACCCTCAAGTTAATCGAATCACAATCTACTCCATTAACTTTTCGGGGATTACTTGAGGGTGAATTATCTAGATTGTTTGATGTAAAGTAAAAGTAACATTATGGATGTTATTTATTCACGCGTTAGTTCTACAATACACAAGTATCATCAATGCAGGAGGATGTGGGCACATGAGACGAGATGGATTGAGGAAGACCTTATTTTCCAAAGCTATACTCGATATCTCGACGACTGTTTCTCCATCTTTTATCTAATATGCTGATTTCATCTACCAATCTTGCGCATCGAAATCAGATTCTCTTCCACCTTGAGGTCTTCATCAAGCAATCCCAAGTTGGTATGCGCATTCATCACATGGATCACCATATTACTAACTCCCGAAACAAGGAAGAAAAGCGGGCATCGTGGCTTGTAGATCTGGTCGAATCTGTGAATGAGAAACAAAGTGGACATTGTACCCTCGTAGATCGAGAGCTTCTGTGACCTTACTGGATGTAAGATATTGATGATGGGATTAGTCAGTTTAGAGCGCGTAAATGCTATGAAACAATGCCCCATACGATTGTAAATGCTTATATCCCAATTGATAGAGACTGTAGTCCGCTTTTATATTCCCCGATGACAAGCGACATTTCCCTTCTTAATAACCTCTATATCAACCTCTCCACGAATGTTCGTAAACTTATCCTTTCCTTCCCCAAAGATCCTACGACCCTTGGCATGCTCCAGAGCACGGCAACGAACAGCAGCGCCTACTATTGCTAACTTTTCTAGAAATGGTCTTCTCCGCTCAAGCTCCAGGACTTTGGACTTGTACTCGTCCAGCTGTTGTTGTAGTATTGCCTCTCTATCTTTGTAAGTCTTGCGTTCCTGCTCGAAGCTGCCGTGTTGAGCAACCAGTTGTGCCTTGAGAGCGTGAATTGCAGCTTCAGCATCGGCGACTTTGTGATAACGAGAGATAATGCGGTTCTGTTGCAAAAATGTGTCAGCTATCGTCCTTCAAATTGGTTTTATGAGTAGAAAATTGGGATAGTAAACTCACTCCAACTTTGCAAAGAGGGGCAGCCAGCAACTTCATATATAAAGGCAAAATCACTCCAAGAAGTTCTTTGACATTCGAACCACAGTTGATAATAGGCATTTTCTGATACTTAAATTGGCGGGATCTTTGGATTGCACTGATGGAGAAGAAATGACGTGATAAGTCTTGCTGAGTTATGCATGGATGATGAAGGCAAAAGATGTAGACCAGAAATATTCTTTTCAGAAAACTAAAATCACCTTGTTGTCTTCAAATGTTAATCGAGAGTCCCAGCTGAGTTCCATTGATTTTACTCTCACTTTCAAGTCATTGGATGGCACCTTGATGCGCTTTTATGCTGGTAGAGTTAGACGAGACTGGTTATTTTTAATCGCTATCCACTCTCTAGCTATATCCATTACCGTAAAATCAGCTCTAGCACAGTTCATGTACTCAAATCATGCTACTCTATATCTTTGCTCCACAAAATCATTGCCCGTCATTCCTAATCTGTATGTGTGCCTTTATCTAACACCACTACCACTGATGACACCAGTTCCAGTCCTTAGTCCTCCACCGCCCCACTCTCAAATGTATTTATCACTAACACCGCCACCTGTGAATGACATCGAACGATGACCACCACTCTTGGTTCTTTCGACAAGGGTATCACATGTTCTACTCATCTTGTTACAAGCTTCAATAACTCTAAGATCGCTACTGAATGTTTTGGCTGCTTGGAGGGCTGATGTTGATCTTCGATCTATGTCTTCGTACTCTTCTTGACAATATACCGACAAAGCCAAGAATCTATCGTCGGCGTCCTTGTCAGGCGTGTGTCTCGTAAACATCCTAAGTGTGCCATCGTTTCTCTCAAGTTCGCCATCTCGGTAACCTTGCATTGAGGAGCATACTTGTTAGAGCAGCCCTTTAATAACCTCGCTAAATGCAACTCCGTAAATGTCTTTGAATGTTTGTTCGAACTTGACTCGATGACTTGAGTTGATGCTCAGAAGAGCCGCATCTGCTCGAATATTTCCTCCGTATAGACTACTTCCATCAATACTTGTACTCTTAGCACCAAGATCCACATTAATCTCTGGAGTAGAACTGCTAGAAACAATTCTGTGGTGAGTATGGTGGCGTATGACAGGATACTCATGCGCCTTAGAAAGTTGTAGAAATTCTAGGCGAGTTTCGACTCCGACATCTCGGAGAATGTTGTGTGGCTCCCTACCACTCTTCATATTCTCCAAGGACCTAGACAAATTTTTGACCTCCTCCCCGCAACTCTTCGCTGGTATCATCGAAGGTAACTTTGCGTGCTGATGGGCCACCACGATCGTGGCTGTGGTTGTGGTTGTGTCTGAGCTCGTGTTTGTGCCTGTGCTGAATCCAGTTCAGATTCCAGCTTTCTATTTTCTTCAGCATACCTTCTATTCGTCTTGACATTCTCGTCTCTATTCTCTGCAATCTGTTCCAAAAGCGTCTGTGTTGAATCCAAAGATTCAGAAACCTCTACAGTTTCTTGGATGAGTTTGTAATTGTTCATACTCGAGGTTTCTGTATTCTTCCCTAGCTTCTGTGAGCTGTCCTCTGTGCGGAACGAAGTTGATCCGAGAGTCGAGAATTTTCCCTCTCGAGCTTCAAGTCTGGCATCGGCTGGCGAAAGGATTATGGTAGGCAACATCCGCCGGGGCTGTGTGGACTCTGTAGCCTAAATCACTGAAGCATGCGTCAAAGGATTCATCTCTCGGACTGAAATCCTAGAATGTGATTTTTTTCCCTCAAAATTTCCTGTACAGATCATCAGTATAGAGCATTAGGAAGGATACCAATAAAACATACACGCAACCGAGAGCCAAACTCCCCTTACTCCGCTCCCCAATCAGCCATTTCTCTCTTCTTCGGCTCTTCGTACTTTTGCCGCATCATACAGATCAATAGCCCTCTTTACATCATGTGCGCTTGTTTTAAGGCCAATTTTAACTGTGCGTCTTTTGCCGTGTTTATCCTGGATTGTAAATTCAGCCGGAGCTAAGAGAGTACTGTTCTGTGAGGCGTCCTATATTATATGTGAGTCATTGATCTTCAGACCATACAGAGCTGTCCAGTAACTCACGATGATCATGTTGCTCCATCTTTCCTTGCTACCATACTTATCAATCGTGAATCTTTACGGCACCACTCTTCATGCGATAAAAATTGGTCGAGTTGAATTAGTTTCAATCGCTTGGTTTTGTCTATTGAGCTCAACAACTTTAGCTTTGTCTCTCTCATGGTCTCTTCTCAAATCTCTGTCGGAAATCATGATACCGGGACTGGTCAGTTCAAGGAGACTCTGGTTGATAAGGCAAGTCTGCTATGGGTTATTGGTGATTTTGTCTTTGGAAATCTTGAGGTGTTTTTAAGACTAGAATCAAGGCAAGGGAAATTGAAGTTGTGGTTGCTTGTTGAAAGATTTTTAGAGAATATTGAACAGATTAGGTCCAAGCTCCAGGCTACTTACCCTAGGTACTTACTTGTCATAATTTATACACGTCACTGTTCCTAGCCGATGTGATTCTCTACTTATCCCGGTTTGGATTCACTGCTTTGAATTACATCCCTATCAGACTCAACACCGATCTGTACCCGAAAAGCTTGCCTACCTAGGTAGAGGATGTCTCTCCGCTAGCCTCATGATCTTTAGTTCAACATCACTCAATCACAATCAATTTTTATCTTTAAACTTCTACCAATAACAAACAAACTTTGTGAGGCAGAATAAAAGACAATGTCAATTAGACTAATATACAAGTGCAAAATCCATGTTCAGTAAAAATGTCACCTTATCTCCATCTAACCATTGCTGTATCAAAAAGAGTGAATGAGAAAATCAGAAAGTTTGAGCCAGTCAGAAGTTTGACCAACCCTCGATCACAGTGAATCATGGATTCACTCCATACTAGTGTTTAAGCGAGGCCCCTTTCTAACTTCACTCCCCACTTCAGATGATAACATTTGAGAACTTGGGATGAATACATGCAATGGGAAATCATCCACTGTTTCTCCGCAAAATGTTAATCAAAGATTTTCTATGAACGGTGCAATTTCCCTCATTTATATTATCATATCAAAACTGAACTCGCACATATCCTTCTCGAATGCTTGGCAAACTTCAGAATCCAATTGACAGTGTATATAATCGAAATCGAGAGAGACTAGACAAGCATATTTAAGGAAGTGGTGGTGATGGTGTTTTGTTAATTGAGTAATTATTGCGACAAGATGACGAAATCATTGGAACTCTTTGAAATCACCTCGTCAGTAAATTCAATAGAACATGGAGCCAAATCAAGTAGGAACTCACATTTAGCTCAAGGTAACGGACTCTAACCTCTTCTAGGTCTCTTGCCACGATGTTGATGAGAAGGGCTGGGATGGTTTTGGAAAAACGGTGGAGTTTGAGGAGGTTCATAACTAGAGGAAGGTGTTCCTGGGTTGGCACCATGCGTCAAAGCACCCTGCCGTCGAGACTTTGCGATGATGATGTCTGCGAACTCTCCAAGTCTCCGTAAGTGGCGTGCAACGCCCTCGTCCTTCTCAAATGCCTCATTTCCTAGCTCTATGCACTTGTTCTTCAAAAACTCCATGTTATCGCCTGCAGCCTGTTTATCCCGAATTGACATCGACTCATTTTTCAAAGCATAAAGTGAAACAATACTACCCTGATGATCAATTGCTTGAAGCATGCGTGGTGGCATATTCCCATAACTTTGAGGAGATAAGCCGTCGTAAATGAGACCATAAACCTCTTCCAGTTGTCTCTTTTCGCGGTCTGTGAGATAGTTTCCAGTAAATAAAGCAGAATCTACAGCGCCGTACGCCCTATGGGCCGCATCATTTCCTCTTCGAATAAATTTGGCATCGAAATTGTGTTTGTGGAGACCCATAACCTGAGCTTTGGCATGTTCAAGAAAACGAACCCGGACAGCAACGCCAATGTGAGTCAATGCGTTTGTATTTTTTCGTTGGATTTCCATTTCGTTTCTCAAATTCTTTATTTCTTGCTTTAGAGCCTTTCGTTCGGTCTCAACGAATTTGGCGTGTTCGTCTGCATCCTCCAGTTGTTGTGTTTTGTCTTTTATCTCCCGGTCTTGCTCAATTATGCGGGCTTCCAGCTGTTGGCATCTCTCTATCCAATATGCTGAGTCCATTTTATTTTAGCAACAAGACGACTATGTATTTATAGGATAGAGATTCCGTCGACTTTGATTGTGAGTCTGCGCACTTGTGAAATTATAGACCGAACAAAAGCATAGTTATGAAGGGCATTAATGTTTGTGTTGAAACGGACCTCACACGCGTGTATATACCTATTATTATAATATTTATGTCGTGTGGGGTAGACTTTGAAATCTTAAAAGAGGCATGTATTTTTATCCCAGCCTTCTTAAAACCACCTGCACAGCCTTTCTCTCCTTTGGATACAGAAAGCAAAAAGAGCTGCACCAAGAATACTCTTCATTCTGCCTTGCGCTCACCCTTACAGGATACACATTCAAGCAGTGAGGGAGACCATCAAAATTACAGAGATATAATTCCATGAATCTAACATGAGTTACTTTATCAGCTATTCTCCATTTGATGTCATTGTCGTTGACTTTTTCTTACTATGCCGAACACTTGGGACGACATAGGTATCAGACGTTCATATGCACCGGATAAAGTATTAGATTGGTTATAATATGAAAGATTGATATTATCCTGGAGAATGAAAGCCAAAGAGAATCTGAAAGGTGTTTGGAGGTTAAATATGACAGTAATATAATAGCCACAGACTAAAGAAGCTGAAACGGAAAGCGCAAGTGCAATTATCACGCGAGAAAACCCACTTATCATCATCAATATTCATTCAAGAATGGCACGGCGGAAGTCGCAGAAAAATTATCAGAGAGTTCGCAGAGTAGATAGGCTTTTGAAAGTGGGTGCGGGCTTGGGACAGGTAGTATTAATAACGCTGTTCGTGGTATTCGAACTTCGCGCGTGGAAAGAAGGTAGGTCAAGCTTCACAAAGAATGTTGATCTAACATAACAGCTGGTGAGTTTTCAACTGGGTGGTCTGTATCAAGTGAGCGGAAGGACAAGAAAACAGTACATTTGTTCATTTTCTCTAGCTTTGATAATGAGTTACCGAGCACACATTGAGTTTGGGACGATTTGTTAGTAAGATCTTGCTCTTTTTTGCTCCATGTTTACTGGTAAAAATAATAAGAAGAAAGCAAAGGAAGACTATTAGTTTGAAAGAGTATGTTTAAAGACTAGTATATTAGCATGACAGAAAAGGGAGAAGGGCACTTTATCACTTGATATTGAATTGAAATTGTTAAAGATATTAAGAAAAGACGACATCTAGTCGTTTGATTTTTATTCGAGTTGCGAGCACCACTAGGGCTCAAAGTCCATGAAGTCCAGCTTCATGAAGACCTTTTACCCTCATCTCCCGTCCCCGGATCGTCGATCCAAAACCTAACGCCGGCTGCCGCCATTGTTGTTGGAGTTGGAGTGAGAGTTGGATTGATCGAGCTTGATCGGGATGTTTCCATACTCAGGAGTCGATGGAGTTGGAGTTGGGAATTTTGGCATGAGTCTAAACTCACCTGGACGGACCTCGACCATGGTGAGATTGACTTGAGAGCTGCTGGAAGGCATGATGTAAGAAGTTGCAATTGCGAGACTTGAAAGTTTCGAAATGTTTCTTGGAATGTCTTCTGGAAAGATGTGGAAAGTAAGGCTGTTGTTGGTAATGCTGTTACTGACTAAGGATGATTGGAATGAACTGGAGGAGAAATAATTAAGTGATATATTCGACAGATATATACTAGACTACTGTCAATTGTTTTGGCACAATTTCTGATGTTCGGAACAGTGCTATTGTGCGTTAATCTTTGTGATGCACTGTAAAGTTTAATCCTCGACCCCGGAAACAATGGCATTGTTTATAAGTCTTTGTCAAACTATACAAAAAACTTGAGGGAAGTCTTTCAGAACTCTCAAATCATTTCTGTAAAAAGCCTACGACAAAGAGACACTGCACAGGGTTGTTCTCTAATCATTACTGTCAAAGGAGAAAATTTCGAGCGCCTAGTTCCAAATTTCTACGGCACTGACTACTACATGATTACGAAAAGATGAACCTATTGGAGAAAAGAGCCGGTTTCTATTGTCCAATGACTTGAGAAAAAAACCGTTGTCTTAACTAGATCAGAAAACTAGCACCGGTCCCCCATATGCTCGAATTCACAACTATTGGAAATGTTACTCATATTTCACCACATTCTTGAGATTAATATGTGCAAGCGTTTGGGATTATGAGTGAACGATAGACACAAATAGCTATCATTCTACAGACAGTGTGCCTGTTTTAGGAAAGCTACTTTCTTACCATGGCCGCAATATCTGCTAATATCATGCAATCTTACATTTACAGATCACTTCACGAATCAGTTCTAGCGTGTTAGCGAGCACACGGCGAAGCCAGATTCTCAGTAAATATTTCTTCATAACCGAACCACGAGAGAATGTATCACGTAAGGGAGAGTGAGTATATGGTGGAAAGCTCAATGTTTAAGAAAGCGCAATTTCGACAAGATTAAAATACAATAGAAGGTTGAAGGCATTTCCAATGAGAGGCGGACTGCCAACGATATCACATTAGGCCTAGAAGAGCACAAGTAACACATAATCAGATGGTGGTGTGGTTGGTTTTTTGCTACGCAATGGGAGGAAGGTAGATGTAAAATATCGCATGAGGGAGGTATCACTTGGTGCAGAGTATAAAGGGGGTCAGGGTTTATAGTAAAGTAGGATTATTAATTTTGCTAGAAAGAGAAAGAAATGGTCGACTCGAAGACTGCGTTACTCACTCGAGCTCGGAATCGAAGTACTAATCAATTTCTTTTGGCTTTCTGTGTTTTTTTGTGTTTTTTTTTGTTTTTTTTTTCAAAAAAAAAAAAGAAAAGGACTAGGAATACAGCTTGCTCTCTTCAATTACAACATTGTAGGGTTTGTATGACCTTCAACTGTTGAGCCTGTTCTCAACAGCTTTATTCATGACAGTCCGAGTTCCAGAGAACTCAAGGGTTGATACACCAGAAGACAAAATGCAGCGAGCATCGGCTTTTGTGATGATGAAAACAATATCTGGTATTGCGGCTATCTCTCTACGCATTACCTGTAGCGAAAAGAATCGGTAGTAAGACATGGCCCACGAGGTCATCATACATATTATACTGTCTGCTAGATGACCTGGGCTTGAGAAGAACTGTGAGCAAAGCTGCGGTCTGAAAGATGTTTCAAAGCGTACGACTAGTCTTTCAAGGTTTCGAAAATACCCGGTTTTACTGAGTAGAGACTTCGCATCCTTCGTCTCGTTTTTCATTTCGAGGGATTTGACCATGTCGCATTCTTTTATGGGTGCAACTTCCCGGGTGTCAGGGTGTGGCTCTCCTCTTTGGGCAAAATTACGAGGGCCCATGAAAAACTTGAAATTGTCATCCATGTCATAAAGACAGAGCGTATCGATCTTTGGATTGAAATAAATGAAATGAAAATCTTCACAACCAGCAAGATTAGTACCTTCAAAAAGAAGTTGCATATGTTTCAAAACAAACTCGCGAGATTCTTTATTTATCTGAAAAAGGACCGGAATCTTTTTCTTTTTGGTCATTTGGTTGGATTTGACGATGTGTGACCTTGGTTTAGGAAGTGCAAATTCCCAGATCATGGCTCGGAGCTCGAAAGGAAGCATAGAGAATGACATGATAGCTAGGTAGATAGGTAGTCTTGGATAAAGCCTAAGTAGGGTGTCTACGTATCTAGGTATCTAAATAGTAGTGTGATGTGTTTGTCTATCTAAATTGCTTTATGATGAGAAATCTGGATATTATTAATGAAATTTACATCAATATATAGTGAACCATAATGTATTATCCTCACATAGTTTCTGGATAGTTTTCAGTCAATGAGGTTTCTGTGGAGGGTTCTGGGGAATCATCATGTGTTGTTGCAATATAATTCCAGTAGAACAAAGGATAGAACTAGCTGTAAATAGTGATCAGACGAGAAGAGAGAGCAGCAAGCTTAACTGTCCCGTAACTTGCATATTAAAAGGGATATGATAAGAGGGAGTTGGGTGTTAAGACAAGATTGAGAAGAAACTATAGATAGAAGTTAGGCAGATAAAATAAGTACATAATTGGGATTTGTGTAGCATGAATTGACCGATTGATCTGTTGAACTATGAATCATTGATTATACTGATCTCACGTATTTATCCTCTGTGGTTACACAAAGTTATCGACCAAAAAGACGTTCCTCTGCCTTAGAGCTCGAGGCCTACCGTCAATGGGAAGAGATCAACTCTTAGTACATGGAGTTTCAAGTTTGAACGACTAACCATCGTTGGAAAAAAATCGAGTTGGGCACTGATATATCGCGGTTTAATATGGTCACTTGAGTTGTAGAGGAGTACATACAGACTTGCTGGATCTGTTATTATATAACCAAAGGTATTTAGACGATGTGAAAGGACTATGTGGAAATCAAAAGATAGATTGTAGCATGAGGAATACTACAAGCGAAAGAATTGCGGGGATATTGAATGAATGCCACTTGACAAAGAAAGATATAAGGGGTTTTATGTGAAAGAAATATTGTATTGAAATAGGAAAGAAAATTATATGTTAATAATCATCAAAGAAAAACGCATGCAAATAAAATGAATACCGTTGTGTGGTATTACTCACATGGGATTGTCGCGGAAATAGTCAATAGCGTATTGACCAGTCGAATCGACGATGCGCTGGTCGGTCCGCGTAAGCAAAATCTCGATTCTAGGAACTCTACTGATTAAGCCGGCAGTGAGTCGGGTTTGAAACCACCCGCGTGCCATGCTTGTATCCAACGCCATCTCCCTATGTATGTCGCGTACAAATAATTGTCTTCCTGCATTGTTTGTTGGGTACGGAGGTCCGAACATGATCCCGGGGAGGCGAGAAGAGTTGTACTGAATTCCGTAGCATTCGAGATTTCGGAAATATGCAGCGGGTCCTGCTTGATCCATCTGATCTTCATCAACTTGAATGGAAACAACATTGTCAGCCTGTGCCAACGGTGCTTCGTGAGTGAGATCCGCAACTGGGGGAAGAATAGTAGGTGGAAATACAAAGAGTCGGGTGGCGCCACCATCAAAGTAAATAGAATCTAAACTTGGATTGAAATACTTGAACTGTGCAGGATAACCATTGCCGTTGACGCCACCGAAGAGTCGCTTGAGTTGCTTGAGAGCCTCAGTTCTGGATTCGTAATTTACATAAAGGATGGCTGGGTTCTGACGGGAATGCGCTCTGTTGTGTCTCATCGCATTGTCAGTGATTCTGATGGTTTGAGGCTCCGACATGACGAAATTCCAAATCATGAGTCGAATCTCTGGAGGTAAACTGGAAAATGCAAAACTTGTTGATCTTCTAGGAGCTCGAACAACAACATTTGACTGGGAGCTTTGAGAAATGAGGGCACTTTCCCGGTCCGGAAGAGCTTTTAACAGCTGAAGAGCCTGCTGCGCAGGAGTGGGTGCGGTTCGATTCTCCCATCGGTTGATAGCAACTGCAAGACTGCAATTTCGATCAGGAAGAGCATCTAGCAACGAGAGATTAGCCTGTTGTGGATTGGATTGTCCTCCAGCTTGCCATTTGTTTGTCAAAGCTCGGACTGTCCCTGGGACAATTGGATTTTGATTGTTCGAAGACATGGTCTTAAAATTGAAAATCTGAAGATAGTTTGATATTCTGTTGATGTGGTTAGAGTATCAAATGATGATGCAGGAATGAGAAAGGAGATATTAGAATGAAAAATGACTAGATATATATAAGAGATATCTCGAGCTGTTCCCATACAGTTTCCATATAATTTCCATACACTTTCCATATAATTCACACACAGTTCAAATGTGTTACGGCATTTCTGAAGTGGGAATAGTGTCTAACATAGTTTGTGGTTGGTTATTGTTCCAAATATTGGGTATCTAGATTGCACATGGTTTGTATTATTCGGTGCAGCATGGTAATTTTTGGTTGAAAAACGATCGTTTCTGGTGTATTCTAGCATAGGAATTTTGGAACAAGAGTGGTCACTTTCAAGCCTGATATACAATGCTAATTTTGATCTCAGGCCCTATGATTGTCCGAGCAAGAACATGACATGTGAGAGCAGGACCAAGCATAGTTCTTTCACATTGAGACTAGCACTAAACATGAGATCCGTATCATGAACTTCATTTAGAAACACCAGGAACATAAATCCAAACTTTATTCGATATTCTAACCCGACACAGTGGTACAGCATTCGCTACATTAATCTGAAAGCTATTGCTCACTCTGGATCTTATTGTCACTTAATCTGGGGGCCGGCTTCTCCGCTTGCTACTCTTAAATGCAATTTTCACAGCTTCCCAGATCTGAACCGCCTCTTTCCGTAGTTCCTCCACCCTAGTGCTGCTTTCAAAGTCCTCGCGTGATTCTGCGCGCTCCCAAATAGCCATCATCTCTTTCAAAATCAAGCGAAGCTTTTGGTGATATGGATAGTCCACCAGGAACTCGCGAGATTGATAAATTGCAGCCGCGGTCTTGCAGTCCAGCACAAACATCAGAGCGGAAGGGTATGTGTGCGGAACCAATAAGTCTGCTGATGTTGGTACATGTCTCTTCCCATATATTCGTTGCATACTTTCGTTGACTCGGTCAATAGATTCAATCGAGAGACCAGCGTGCTGCGCCAGTAACGAGTCCGCCTGTATTGGATGTTAGTGATCGTGTACTCTTTAATGAAGGATGGGAACTCTTTTACTTACTTCGAATTTGGGATCATGGGCTGCGACATTACCCGACTCCACAATGCATCCATCTAGCATTCTGCCATTGTGACCTTCGAACATAAAGTGTATATTCTCAAGCCACCTCAGTCTCAAGGCTATCCCAATGCTTAGAAGGGGCTTGACCCTCTCGCTAGTTTCTCGGAGTGCTTCGTGATTTGAGCGTAGTTGCTGATGTTCTTCGCTCAATTTTTTATAATCAGACGCCAGCCCAAGATTCTTCTTCCGTTCTTCTTTCAAGGCTTCCATGATCTTTTGAAGATTTGAGTCTAGCAAAACAGAATTTTCATGTAGCAGTCGATTTTTCTCATCTGTAAGACGCAAGCGCTCGGTAGTCGCATGCCTCTCTTTCTGAATCTGATCCTGTATTTCTCTAATGCTCACCTGAAAGTTATTTATTTGCAGGGACATTACTTTTGGTGATCACTCCGCATTTGTTCCATGATCTCAATCGCAGCACTGCGCTGTGCTTCTAAATCCTTGTTTTCATCGCGTGTCGATTGCAGTATTCTCCTTAATTGGGCAGCTGACTCGTTTCCCGAGAGGATTGGCTCTTCTCTCAAAGGGTGCATCTCATAGCGAGTGTTTTGCTTAATCATCATTAAAGCCCAGGAATCCCCGGGCAGTATCTCCCCCGTCGGCAGTGTGTCATCGGTGACTACCAATATGTTTCCTTTGGTTCTGCATTGGGTACAGATGAACAAAGCGTGCATCTCCTCTCTCAACTCCTTCACAATCTGAGCGCGGAATCTGGCCTCATCTGCATCATGGCTGGAATCTACAGGAGTAGACATTGGTGGCGATCTCGGAGATGAAAGAAGTGATACAGGGAGGTGAGATGGGTCGTCTAGACTGAAATAAGATCTTATTGTAGGGGCGCGGGTAGAATCTGTAGTTGGAATCGACGAAGGTGACCATTACAAGGCCAGCGGAATTGTAAAAGGAGTGGAATTCAGGGAGACTTGAATTGTTGAAGTGGGAATTGTATGTATCCCAAAATATTCCTGGCGAGAATGTAGTTGATTCTCTAGTTTCTTTTCGTGGTTGTGTGTGGGAGATCAGAAAAAATATTTCAACAATACAACTTTAAAGACTGCTGCTTGCTTTTGTACTTGAGTTCCTTGATTCTGGAAAGATGGTGCAATTAAACTGTTCTACACTCTTATACATAAATTGTCAAACAAGGTTCGAAAACAGGGTACAGTACCTGCAAATGAGATTTCTAATGCAATATAAGCGTCAAATTAACGACTCCAGTAGTTTCATCTAATTCTAAATTCGCTCGGCCTACATTCGCCCCGAGTGTCCACACTTGCTGTAGTAGCATCTTGTGAATTGAAACTATTCATTTTTAGATAGTAAAAAACTTGATTTGATACGCACACAACAAATTTCGAAGGAAACTTTTTCTTTGAAATACGATCCGTTCGTGATCGATTTAGATTATAGTTATTAAATCAAATTGATTACAATTGCCCCTTAGTGATTCTGATTAGTAATTGTTATACTATTATTGTCGATATTCCGAATACAAAATATACACGAAAATTCGCGTAAAATTTTCTCATTCTGAATTATCAGAATAAGAATAAGATCCTCAATATGAGTTCTCTTAATAATCTATCAATACTTAGGGATATGGTTATAATAAAGGCTCTTTCTAAAGCCTTTATTATACCAAACACATACAACAAATTTCGAAGGAAGCTTTTTCTTCGAAATACGACCTTCTCACGATCGCTCTAGATTATAGTTATTAATACAATTCCATTGCAATCATCTCCAAGTGATTCTGGCTAGTAGTTGTTGTGATACTGTTGTCGACGCTTCGAAATACGAAATGCATGCGAAAAAACGTGTGAAAAACTTTGTTCCAAGATTTCAGAACAGATAATCCAATTTTAACATCAATATGGAATACTCCGATTGTATAGTTGTAGAGGTTTCAAATATTAATCTGAATATTTTTTCAGATATAGATATGAGAGAAGTTATCCCAGACCAATTTATAATACCAAATACCTATCCAGCAATCATTTCCAGTCTTTTACAATTTTAAATTTGCTTACTTATTCCAGAAGAACCCCAATTGAATTATCAAGTCTTATTTTATCAATCAATCAAATAATTAATTCTGAAATTAGAATACAAGATTTTAGTATATCTAGCGATCCTTTTATTATTCAAAAGCCAAATAATATTACTCAAATTTCAATCAAAACAAAAAGCGAAATTCTATTATATTACTTATCAATTCAAATAAGCAATTCAAAATCCAAAATAATCTAATTACTTCTAAAAAAGTTATTCTAAAAGTTAGAAATCTTATAATTCTAGCTTTTATTCTCTTTTAATTATATAACAAATAATCTAAATTATTAGATCTTTTAGAAATCTTTAGAGAATATATTGAAAAAGGAAATCTCACTATAGCTTCCAAAATTATTATATCCTAAATCAATCATTTGGAAATAGCTATACAGAAAATCGAATCTCAAACCAAAGCTTTAATCAAATCGACTTTTACCAGTATTACAATATCAATATCAAAACCTTTTTATGCTAATATTACAAAAAAAGGAGAATAGAATCTAATTACTAAAAAAAAAAATAACAAATCTATTCCAATAAAGAAAAAGACTAGTATTATCCAAAAACGATTATTTTTAATCAAATTAGAAATTCCTAACTTTAAAACCTTCTTGTCCTTAATGATTCGAAACAAGATTAATGAAGCCTTCCAGGAAATTGAAATCAAAGGACCAGTAATTGCTGTAGCAATACTTTCTTTTAATAATAATATTATTATTATTATTAATAATCCCTTTATAATATAATTCCTAATTGAAAAGAAAGCTATCTAGAAAAATGTTATCAAATTCGAAAGGATTTAAAAAGACCAAGAATAGTATAGGATTATTATTTATAATATCCCTATAAAAGAGTTCTTTGGGCCTAAAGGAATAGATTTGATTATAATTGAAATCAAAACCTTCAATACAGATTTCAAGCTAATAGGAATTCTCTTCTGGCTTACTTCAATAGCCAAAAGAGCCTATCAAAAAGATAGTGTTATTGTTATAGCTTTTGTCTCAAAATCAGAAGCCGAATTAGCTATTCAAAAGTGATTGTATATTATAAGTATTAATATTAGAATAAAACAATTCTATAAATTCAAATCTATTATATAATATTAAAAATGCTAGGGCTTTGGGTATTAAAGCTTTGTGACGAAAACGGTGTTGTAGACCACATGGATCAGATCATGTAATGGTCAGGTATTCATTATATAGAATACTCCGGAGCGGAATAATGATAATCGGATTGGCCACAGAACCGATCACCGCTTTCGTGATCGGTATTCGAAGATCACCCAGTATATAATCCGATCTCTTCTTTATAAGAAAAGATCAGTTCTAATTATAGATAAGGAGATATATACATTCTTATATTTATATTATTATTATTCAATCATTCCCCTTTATTATAATATATTATTATTCTGTACAATAGTTATAAGTCTGGTTCACATTTAAATATAGCTATCTTGCTATAAATCATTTTTGTAATCAAGAGTGGATATATTATGATCTATATCTAAAAATCCAAATTTTCATTATCCAAATATCTGAATCAATTATATCAATGTAATATATATATCTATTAGTATATCTTATTATCTAATCGGATTGATCAGCCTAATATAATACTCTTAGAGTTAAATATCAACTAAAAGATATTTAGGATAAGATTAATCCTGAACTTTTATTAAAGATAAATCCTTTAGCCTTTTCTTCTTAGAATTATTATTTGAAATGATCGATTGGCTGACTACAACTCTATCTATTTCTCCAACTCTCAAAAGTATTTGATAGGAATAGGACAGAGCTAAATAGTATGCCTATGAGGCAGAGCTTATTAAATATTATGTTAAGTACCCTAAACAGAAAAGCGAAGATGGGGATATAGAAATGAAGGAATCAATTAATTATCTAGTTGCTTTTCTATTATTATCTAAATCTATATCTATATCCATTGTTGATATAATTCCCTTATTTACTATTCTTGATAGGTTATATTGTAATGAGAAAATAATATATGATAACAAGCACAAATTCTATCAACAAATCTATAAATAGATCCAATCAATTATTGATTCAGTTTATTTTATGGAATTGTTCTTCTCAAATAAGGGATCAAAGGCTTAGCTATTTCATAAGGTAGTTCTCTCGCTCTATAACAAACTAGCATCATCCCACCAAATTATTGAAATGATTATTCAGTTCAAATACCATACACTGATTGCTTAGGTATTTAGTAAACAAATTGATCCAATCAAATGGTTTCGGGATTAGAATATTGCTTACTCAAAAGCATCTGCATATAGATTTCCAGATATTTATAGACCATTAGCTACCTATACTTTCCTCAACATTATTGAGATCAGGATAATATTTTTGTGGACTTAATACAAAATCGATAAGATTGATGAAAAGATTTACTTAGGTTAAGAATATCAGATGCTTCAACAGGTAGCTACAATATTCGAGAATATTGTAAGCCGCAATACTGTATTACCTAAAGCAAAAGGAATCTATACTATCGAGTAGTTCAAATCACCTATTCCATCTAAAGGAATTTCATAAGATTAATCCAAGAGTTCCCATTTTAATAAGAATATTAGAAAAGCAAAATATTCTTATATATTTAAAAAAGATAAACAAAAACACAACTTTTATAAATAGAATCCTAAAGATTATAGTAAGGTAGAAATTGCTTTGATTAGAAAATGTGTTGATCATTTAAATATAACTTTTTTTGTAAATCAGATCAAAGAGATTAGGTAAAGGATTATAAACAAATAGAAGTATCTTTATAACACTTTCAGGAGTAAGGGATAGATAAAAGGATTATCTTATAATACTACTCCATCTATTACTAGAATACCAGATAAATTTATAGATGTTACTATGCTAAAGGTATTTGTAATCAACTTAACTTCAAAATCAGAGTTTGAATTCTATAATTCTACCCTTCTTGATAACTATAGAGCATTGCATATTATCAATAATATATCTCTTTTGGATAACTAATTATACTATCAATCCTCCGAGGATGATTAGGTGGATTCAGGATTAGTATCCTATTAAGTTATCAGAAAAGGCTAGAAAACAATAAGAGGTATTCTTAATAATAAGGATCTGATTCTTATAAATGTTGTTCTGATTCCTAGTTTCTATATCAATATTGTTTCCGAAGCATAATTGTTTAAACTAGGTTTATGGTTTAGTAGTTTTGATATTACTCTATACTTTGGGGACATAATGAAAAATGAGATATATACTTAGTGTATTAAATATAGCAACCTTATATTCTTAGAAATAAAGTCTTATTCCTCTTATTCTCTTATTCTAATCTCAAATTATAATCTTATATATTCTATTGCTTTTTATAAGATCAATAAATCCTTTAGACAATCAAGGAACACCTTAATCTCAAGAAAGGATCAAGTAGAATTATAATACAAAAGAATAGGACATCTTGAAAAGGAAATGCTTGAATACTTAATATTTATTACAAAAGGAGTAAAGATCAAAGGCTCTTTGAAACAAGAATGCTCTGATTATATATATACACATATAAAACAGGTAATCTCCAGAGCATCTAGTAATCGTTAACCACCCAGATCTTTCTATAAAATATAATAAAACTTATTTGACTTCCCTTATGTATTCAACAGAGCAATATGACTATTAATTATTAAAGAAATATATAATGAAAAGCTATTTAGCTA